AGCTTATTGTAAGTACTGGATGTGAACAAATTCAATTTTGTCACTTATACTACTCAAAAGTAGTATGATATCTAAGACGAAATTGTCACACCATATTCGAAGCGATGAAATGCCAAATTTCCGCAATAATTTACATGACTAACTAGTGTTTTTATGCGGTATTAGAGGTAACAGGCGTTACTAAAGATTCATTAGTTTAATCTACTGAAGGAAACATGTTCTATCCCTGTTTTTATAATGATTAAATTACTAATAACGCATAACTGTAATAGGTGGTATGTTGGATACACCAATTTTCATTCCAGGATAAAAGGAATTGAAGATCTTGTAAAATTACCCTTGGGGAAAAGCTTACTTCTAAGGATTAGGGAAATACTGAAATCGGTGCTTCTTAACTTTTGATTTATTGTCTTAGTTTTCAGATTGCACATCTTATATATTCGACTTTAGTTTTCTTGTGCTTGCTGGTTGTATTCCATATGTGAACATGAAATTAGCTTTCTGCAACTAAGTGAAATCTATGGGTCTGACGAACCTGTTTTAAGGCAACTTCAAATATCTATTAACCTTATTTCGTATTAAAAAGGTTGAAGGTCCCTCCTACTAAAAATAGGTATCGGTTAAGTGACTATGAATGCATACTTCCATTTCGAAAATTCCATAGACGTATTCATAATGGTACCTGAATATTTGACTCTGATTTCGTCACGACAGGAAGGTTTAGAATATAGACCTGTTGGTTACAGGCATCAGAGTTCTTTACATGGAAGTGAGATTATAGGGAAACACAAAGGATAACCCTCAACGAATAGTGAATTATTACCAGAATGATAAAGGATAAAGAAGTTTTTCGGAATCTCAAGATGTTATTACTAATCAGCTTCAAGCAAAAAATGCATAGCATTTTCATAAAATTGCCCGATAGTTTGCAGTACGTGGAAGGACAGGTACTTTATTGAAGTGCATTATAAAATTCAGAAATTCTTCAAAGCCCATAACCCCAGAAAGCATTAATTTTCCAGTTTGATACACTGGACGGTTTCTGTTTATTATTTCTAGGTTGATTAGTAGATTTCAGTAAAACTTTGGGAAAACTCAGACAGACAGACAAAAAATTCAACTCGGAACCTCACACACAAGTGCAGCTGTCCACGTTGCTATACTTCACAATGGTACTTAAAAAAAAGGTGGATAGAATAAGGATGATATCAGAGTAGATAAAGTAATGTGAGAAAATAAACTATTTGAAGACGAAGGTTACTGAGAATATTCAAGATTAGAAGACGTCAGAGAGTGAATATATATGCGCCATCGTCTTCGATTTTCAGCCGTGTTAGCAACAGTCTTCAACCAGTGATTCCAATCTTCTCTTGGACCGTAGTCAGCTGGCAAACACCTACCTACATGATTCAGATCAACCGTAAGAGACTTCATCGACTAGTGCCTCGTCTTAATCTGGCCACTGTGAATCTCCTTCGATCCAGACCCAAGTTTTCTTAGAATTTCACGTGCAGATAAGCTTCGTCTCAGCATGCACAGCATATGTACAGTCCACCGCACTCAGTAAAGATTCGTATGACCTCACTGACTGACTTGCCTCACCCCCCCGGTACCTCTTGCCTGACCTAAATATTGGTAACATGGTGATTCCGCCATAGGCCAGCAATGCTACTAAGACACCTATGATCAAAACCCTGTGAACAATTCATGTCTTCTACTTTTAACGACCATGTCACAAAACCTTTCATCAGGATAGAATGGACTGGCCCCTACATTTTATCAGCGTCTTCAACTAGCAGGATAATGTCTCACTCATGCTCCATATCAACCAGATGACATCCATGAAGTAGATCATGAAAAAGTGAAGTGAAGCATCTCCTGATCTAGATGGCTGTAGTTACCCGTACAACTCGATAATGTATCTCATTTCTTATATGTTAACATCACATTATCCTTACATCCTTGTTTCTGGATTTCTGTGAATGTCCTTCTGGTCCAATGTTTTTGAATTGTCAAAATCTTTTATCTTACCTTTAAAAATCATAAACTGTGGGCCTAATTATTATTATTATTTTTCCCTTGGGTTCCTAGTGTAACATTCGGCTTCAGTAGCACGTCTACATTCCACTCTCTACTCTACAATCTTTTCAACCTGGCTCCACCACTGCCCACAACCTCTCATTTCTTCCTCACATCATCTCCTCCATGTCACCCTAGGCTCAGATAACCAACTCACCATTTCACATCTGGGTTCCACTCGAATGCCTCACCTGACCTGACCTGACCTGACCTGACACTTGATGTCCCCGAATGGTCTTCTTAGTGCATGCCCAATCCACCTCCACTTCATTCTGCATATTTTTTGAGCGATAGGTTGTTGGTTGGTTCGCTGTCGGCCAGCCAGCCAGCCAGCAACAGTTCCTTGTTGCTTATTCTCATCATTATGGTCATCTGAGCCTCAGTAACGAGACAGTGTAGGCAGTTGTTGATGAATTTCTGTAGTTTGTTGGAAATGCTGTTCGTAATGCGCCAAGTCTCTCAACCATCACATAGCAGCACTGACTTGACTGACATTAGTGTTGAAAATCCGGGTGTTGTTCAGGCTTTATGTTGATTGGAGTGCAGCAGATCTCCACACTGATTATTTCAGGTTAATGAACGCCTGTCTTGCTTTTCCGATCCTGGCTGCTTTGACGTCTTCGTCTGTGCCGGTGCCTGTAGTTGAAGTGGTGCCGCCTAGATAGGTGAAAGAAGCCGATTCCTTTGAGTTTCTCCTGTTGATTGTGATTGAAGCTTGTTGTTGTTGTTGGTGGTGTTGGTTGGGTATTTTCATTACCTCTGTTTTCTCTAAGTTCACTTGAAGTCCCTTCTTCGCTACCTCTTCTGTCAACTTGTTGGAATTTGTCTGTAGCTCTTCAATTTGTGTGACATTAGACACAAGTCATCGTTGGTGAAATCCAAATCTTCTAGGATTTTTAACCGGTTCGGCCAGTGTATCCCCCTCTTCTGGCTCTGAGATTTTAGCATGATCTAATCCACCTCAATCAGGAAAGTCGTCGGTGATAGTTTACAGCTTTGTATTGCTCCTGCTTGCCAACCTATACTCTTTGAAAATTACATCTGAATAGTTTAAACAGTGCTTATTGGTACGAAGTATTAAAATAGCCTCTGCTGAGTGTAAATTCTTAGTAAATTTATTATCCTTTGTATAAATTATATAGCCAGTGATTATGTAATACAGTCGAGCTTAAAATTATGGAAATAAAACTTGTATGATTTCAAGAAAATATAGTTGCATGTACATGAAACCGAGACGAATATTTTTCACACGTTTATTATTGTTGATCTGAGTGTAGTAGTCTGTTTTGCGATGAGCTCCAAGCTGGTATTCATCATGGAACACTACAAGCCTTGTAACAATGGATAGCTGTTACGTCCCAGTATTTGACTCCTCAGAAGTGTGTACCTGTCACCCCGCCAGGAGCCGAATCCACAACCTTCAGGTTCCTAGGGGGCACGTCATCATTGAACCACTGGCTCAGAATTCATTGGTCAATATTTCTAACTTCCATCAGCTCATGACATAGCGCAACAATCACTCAATATCATTGTTGAGTATTTGTCTTCATGTCCATCAGATCTGCCCCACCGGTCATGACTTCTCATTGGAACTTCAGGAATCATCTCTCGAAACCAGTCACCATTGACTGTCAGATTAATTCACTTCGGGGGTTTTGGTGAATTTATTGGTTTCAAGTTTGTACTTATCATGGACTGAGATCAGTAGGGAATATACTGAGAACATGGGACCCAGTGGCTCAGTGGTGACGTGCTGGCAACGGAACTTGAAGTTTCTGGTTTCGATCCCTGGTGGGGAGAGGATGGGTCATGGGTTTTCACTTCTAAGTAGCCCCGTGTTAAGACATAGCGGCTGTCCAGTGCTCCCAGGTTTCCAGTGTTCCTCTAACTGATGGAAGTTAATGGTGAATACCAACTTGAAATCAGCAAATCAATACTAACCCCTAAACTGAACAAGATCCAGGCCGGAACATTACGTACATGGAGATTTGTAAAGGTGAGGGGGTTTCCACTGTTAGTCAAGTACAGTTATATTTGGTAAGGGCCATATTTCAGCCTAAATTCTCTTACTCATGTCTGAAAGTTGTGATATCAGCGTCTAGAATTCTTGAAATCCTTCAAGCAACCATATTTTGGTGATGACCATTCAGGAGTCTGAACAAATAATGATGAGTATGACTTATCGTTTTGAAAAGCTAAGATTCATATTTTTACATTCTTCCATTTTGGAAAACTTAAGAAGTCAATGGCGATTCCTATAGATCCATTAAGTGATACTGACTAGCACAAATGGAGTACGAAATGCGTGCAGAGACAACATGCAGGTATTTGTATTGGGCAGTGACTTCGTACCCATTAAGTGTAGGGTCAATAACATTGCCCACCTGTTTACTTCAGTAGCTGTAGTTTCGTTCATATGCATGATGCTAAAATCAACTATGCACATGAATGATTCACAGCTTTGCAAAGGTGAACTGTGGCGTACTGAAAATCAGTTAGAAATCGTCAGCATTATTTTATAAGAATATATCCTGCTATTTGAGGAAATTCTATTTTTTCAGACGATATCCACTCATAAGAATGCTCATCAATTCTTCACATTCTACCAGCAACTTGTTCCTTTTGAGTATGTGTGATCAAAACTCCAAAAAGTATTTTGTATAAGCAAGAAGTAGTTAATAGTCCTTTCTCTTAGTAGAATCACTTGCACACTATACTACAGTCAATCTAAGGACTAACGAAATGAAAAACATCAGCGCAAGTATACTAATGACTATTTCAGCTCCATCGTATTGATAAAAGCGTTTGCTATTTAGGTTGTCAAAGTATCCTGAAAACTTAGGCGATTAGTAGTCAATCAAGTAACACTAATCACAAGTATGGGTGATATTGTTGAGCATAAAATAAAACGTATAACTTACTCGCATTGACGTTGTTTTCAATTCTGTTTTTTGGCTTACCACCATGTGGTCGAAAAACATCTATTTCTTCTCCTAAATCACCTTGCAGTGTTATTGGATCACGATCTGGTTGATGAACAATATAAAACATGATTGCAAATATTAAATTATAGAGATTTACATGTACTACTAATAACAGTATATTTCAATACCACTGTACCAGTATTATATACGTCAATAATTTTTGGTAATATTATTACCATCTTATTGAATCGTAACTGTGTTCTGAAAAAACCAGTCACTCGTCTGTATCGGTGCATAAAATTGTCCCAGTTGGGAAATTAGTCCTTTCCGCTTGTTTTAGAGTATACGACAGTGGTCAGTTTACCAGAAAGGTTACCGTGTCTAGTCAACAAATAAAACATGTGATGGGATGCATAGTCTAATTTCACTTGAATTAACAAAATGAACCAATTAAACGAGACAGTAGTGTTTTATTCTGCTGGAGTGCACTGTAAACCATGAGTGAAATAGTAATTTGCTTCACATGAAGAGATATTTCATGGTCATTATTCAGTAATAAAAGGGTTAGATTAGAACGGTGATAACAAAAATGAAGTGGCTGTCGTATATGAAATAAAATGTGAATTTTCTTAGCTATTCAATAGACTAATTCTAGAAGGAATAAAAGGCATAAAATCGCCGCTGTAAGCTACATTTAGGTGGTCTCCTGGTGGATCAAGAATTGTAAGGAATCCAGACTCACTGTTCTAATCTTAGTAGTTCACAAATCCAGTATTACATTTGTTAATTTTTGAACTTAGGCCTTGTTTTGATATCGTCATTATTGTGCTGACCAATATATTCTCGCTGCTCACGAAGAGGAGCATATGTAGGTTCACACCACTCACTATTTGGTGCAAGGAACCTCCAAAATCAAGTTGAAAGCCTTCAGAGAAGCTGGTGATGGACCACAGTTCAAGTTGAACACCCTGAACAGAAACTGAGCTGAAGGACAAAACTGTGAAGGACATCTTCACGTCAGCCATCAGGAAAAAATTGGAGACATTGAGCAGCATCCGCGAGGAAACCAGCGTGGAAGAACACTGGAACTCTTTGAAGGAGACGTGGAAGGAAGCCTGCATAACCATGTTAGGAATGAAGAAGAAACAAGGGAAGGAATGGAATGGATCTCGACAGACACATGGAAGGTGATAGAGCAGAAAAAGGAAGATGGTGATGGTGAAGCAGAAAATGAACTAGTGCAGTGCATTACAGTGCAGGGATGAACAACGACAAGAGCAGGAACTGAGTACAATGTATAAAACACTACACTGGACAAAGAAGTGAAGAAGAGTGCACGCAAAGACAAAAGACACCTCTACGACACACTGGCAAGTGAAGCAGAACAGGCTGCAGGTAGGAGAGACAGAGACCTGACAACATTACATCAAATAACCAGGTTACAGTCTATCTGGGAAGAGATCAACGCAGTCGAAACCGGTGAAAGATAGTACAGGAAAGCTAATTAACACCAAAGAAGAAAAACAAAGGAAATGATGGGCTGACCACTGCGAAAAGTTCTTGAATCGACCACCACCTGCACTTCGTCCAGAAATACCACCTGAAGCCTAGCCATAGAACTACCAGTGAACACCGGCCCTCCGAAAAAAGCGCAAGTCCCGAATGCCATAAAACTGCTGATATTCGGGAAAACAGCAAGACCAGATGGGATTCCTCCGGAGGACATGAGAACAGACCCAGAGACAATAGCGGAAGGTTTGGAAAAACAGAAAGGTTACTGCACATTGATTGGAAAAAAAGCTACCTTGTCAAACACCCAAAGAAGAGACATTAACGTCTTTGAAAGAACTGGGGAGGAATCATGCTGCTGTCCATTACAAGCAAAATATCAAGCCATATCATCCTGAGGAGACTGAAGGATGCGCTGAATTCAAAACAATCACTGGAAAAGGCTCGATTCAAGAGGAACAAATCATATGCTAATCAAATCGCAACACTACACATCATCATTAAACAGAGTATAGAATGACAGTCAAATATCTACCTCAAAATAATCGACTTTGAAAAGGCCTTCGACAGTGTCGACCGAGAAGCTATTTGGCAGCTGCTTCAACACTAAGGAGTACCACTAATCTCTATCAACCTCATTCTACAGCTATATGAAGACGTCACACGCGAAGTGGTTAAAAATGGAAACCTCACTAATACCTTCGAAATGAAGCGATGACAGGAGTAGGACAAGACTGCCACCTAATATCATCACCGATGATCTTCCTGACTGTGGTCGAATCGACTCGACTGGATCACGCAGCGAAACGTAAGGGACGAGAATAGAGGGACATACGCTATTTGACCGATGGGAAGAGCTCAGAAGATTTGGATTTCACCGATGATGAGTTGTGTATAATGTCGCACAAACTCTCAGATCTACAGGCGAAAACCAACAAGCTGACAGAAGAAGCACTGAAGGGAGACAGGACTTCCTTCAGGTGAACGTAGAGAAGACGGAGGTGATGAACATACCCAACCAACAACAACAACAGCATCAACAACAAGAGGCACCAATCACCATCAAGGGGAGAAACCCAAAAGAAGTAGTCTATTTATTTCACCTACCCAGGCAAGACAGCATCGTTTCAAGCGTAGGTTGCACAGATGAGGACGGCAAAACCACCATCGGAAAGACAGCAAGACAGGCTTTCACTAATCTGAAACTAGTGTGGAGATCTACTACACTCAACTCCACTCCACTCCACTCAGCATAAAGCCTGAACAACATTCGGATTTTCAATACTAATATCAGTCAGGTCAGTGCTTCTATATAGTTCAGCAACTTTGCTTGTCGCGAAAATCATCTACAGCAAACTACAAACATTCATCAACAATTGCCACCAACGCTCACTCATTCGATACTCAAGATCAGATCAGATCAGATGGTCAGAAAGAATAAATAACAAAGAACTCTGTCTAGCTGGCAACTAACCAGCCAGGGACTAATCGCCCAACAAATGTACACAAGAGGAGAGTAGGGATGGATTGGACTGGATTGGACATACACTGAAAAACGTATTCGGAGACATCATGCGTCACTCCAGGCCCTCGAGTGTAAGTCAAATGGGAAACGACGAGTTGGGCATCCGAGATGAGGGTGATATGAAAGAGATCGTTTTGAATAAGAAATGAAAGGTTGTGTGTAGTGATGGAGCCAGGTTCAAACGATTATAGAGAAGAGAGTGGAATGTGGACGTGCTACTGAAGCCGTATATTCCACTAGGAACCCAAATGAAACGTAATAATAATAATAATATCACTTATTGGTATTAGGTGTTGAAAGGAAATCGATCAGAAATCTCTCTTAACTTAGTTTTCTCCCTTATTGGTGTACCTGCCAATTTTCGGAAATCGATCCTCCTCCGCTGATTCAAACACCTGTGACGTCAAAGTCATCTTGACTAAACTATTTAGGTAACACGATGGACCACCTTCAAAACTCGACTACATAAACAAAGAGGTCACCAGCGGGTAAATGATGCGGCTATCTAGTCTTTATCGCTCAGAACTGACTAACTGCTGACAGGTTAAGGAATATATAAAATTTTCACCATAGCAACCGTGTTGCTTATTTCTGAATTGCTGACCTATGTATTTTTGAAGACACTGATATGCTTAGGGGGCAATTAAGAACGGGTTAATATTAGAAGGGGGACTATTATACCTCTAGTCTTCTGTTATACATAAAAAGCCAAGTACTCATTACATGTCTTGTCTCAACGATTTTTTTGGCTTAGGCTTAAAAATCCATTTAATACAAAGAAGTGTCATACATTTAGTTCCCTTGATAAATTTAAACAATGCAAGAACAACAGTCCAAGAATTGTTAAGAAGAGGCCTATCCTCCTTCGCTTAGCATTCATTGTTGACGAGACATTTGAAGGAATAAACGGAAGAATAAAAGCTGCACTGAGAAGGAGCTTCCCTGCTGCCACACTGATCTCAGTTTACAATACATTAGGCTCAATGACATAGTCGAAAGTAGACAAGCAGACCCATCTCACGTCACCTTCAACTACGTATATTAATTCACCTATGCTTGTAGAAGAAAGTACATAGAACGGACTGAAAGAAAGGTGTTTACTCGATTTTATGAGCATATTCCAAAAAATCTGTGTGTTAATGGTAGCAAGGTCTTGAAAAGTGCAATCGCCAGGTGTCTGATGGAAACAGAACATCAAGTAGATATTTCTCAATCCTTCAGAATAATCAACAAACAAAAAACATTATGTTCATTACGGTTTGCGGAAGCTCTCGCTATCAAACAATTTCATCCTGACCTATGTACTCAGAAGGAGACTGTAATTAACCTTTCTTTACCATCGGTATATGTATGTACTTTTTTTGCATCTATATGTATATAGTCTTCCCTTTTCTTTCGATTGTACCACTTCTTCACTAATTACTACATTAATCACTAACAATTTTCCGGTTTTTCAGGTAATTACGTAGCCTATTGGCTCTTGAAAGGTCTCTTCTTCTACACTGATTGTCGCTTGTTGGCCCCTACCCCGCCACTCCACATCGCCAGAATTTTCTGTCTCATCAGAGATAAATTGCCACTGATTTTGACTAAGATATGTAACTATTAATCCTATGTTTCCTTGACTTACTATCTAACTGTTAATCCTGGATTTCAAATCTCCATTTATTTCTATATAATTATAGTATGTTATGCTATTATTACTACCAATATTTCATTTCAGTTGTAGGCTGTTTGCAGCTGATGAAAGGCAATGAGATAAAATGATCTCAATTTATTCTGCAAACGTCCTTGTTCTTGCGTTGTTCAAATACTACAGAGAAATTTCAAATATTTTACTGTCTTTTTCGAATTCTTCAACAGGCTGGTGCCTAATAGGAGGAATCTTGTAAACTAATCAGATATGCATTGTGTTGCTATATATTAAATGGTGCTGCTACTTCAGATTTTCTAGCAGCGGTTTTTACTCTTCAGTGATAGAAAGTTCTTCATGCAGAATGATGTTTATTCGTGTTTATTGAGCGGAGTAATGTGAAATCGCATTGTACATGAATAACTTTAAGTAGTA